CTGGGGCCGGCCGAGTGGTGCGATGGTTAAGAACTCGCTTGGGATGCCAGAGGCCCCCGGTTCGGATCCCACATATGAGGGCCAGTGACACTGCTCTCTACAGCTAAGATGCTGAAGAACAGCTTGGCCTGGAGCTGGGCTGCTGTGAGTCACCGGCGACGGCGTGAGCTGCAGTCCCTGTGGCAGTGAGCTGCCATGGGCTACTGTGTGTAGCCAGCAGCCAGCGTGAGCGGCCAACAGCCGCGGTGAGCGGCCGTCCAGGAGCCGGCGACTGATCTGCCTCACCAGGGAAGAGCGCAACTGATCTGCCTCACCAGGGAAGAGCACAATGATGGTGCCAACTTGGGCCAGTGAAACAACATCCTCCACAAATAGATTGAAGAACAAAACGACAGCAACTTGTCTGTTCCCCTTCCCCCAATTCCCCAGCACTGTTCCCATCCCCCCAATTCCCCAATAAAAATCTTAAAAAAAAAAGAATGTCAGTGCCAATGATGGTTCCTGAAATCCCGTGCTGGTGATTTGGACCTCAACGACGGTCCTCCGTCAGGAAGGTTCACCGAGGTTGATGACTACAAAATAAAGGCATTGATCAAGTCAAACCCACATTACACGATACTAGAGATTGCAGAAACATTGAACATCCATTATTCAAGCATTCACGACCACCTGAAGAAGCTGGGATACGTAAGCAAGCTTGATATTGGGGTTCTGCGTGAACTCAAAGAAGTTCATTTGACGGCATGTATAAACATCTGTAATATGCTCATTAAACATGAGGAAAACAATCTTTTTTTGAAGTGACTAATAACTGGTGATGAGAAGTGTATTGTTTACAGCAATGTGGTGCGCAAACAGTCTTGGTCCCAACGTGATGATTCACCTCAAACGACATCAAAAGCAGACATTCATCAAAGGAAGGTTATGCTCTCAGTGTGGTGGGATTTTAAAAGTGTCGTGTTTTTCGAGCTCCTACCAAGGAACCAAACAATCAGTTCGAATATGTACTGTCGGCAAATTGAACAGTTTGAACAAATCCATCATCCAGAAACGTCCAGAGCTTGTTAATTGTAAAGGAGTTGTGTTCCATCGCGACAACGCGAGACCACACACAAGTTTGATCACCCGTCAAAAATTATTGGAGCTTGGATGGGATGTGTTGCCACACCCACCATACTCGCCTGACCTTGTGCCATGCCATCAGACTTCCACTTGTTTCACTCTCTTCAAAACTCCTTGTGTGGTATAACGTTCAATTCAGATGAGGCTGTAAATCAGCACCTTGTTCAGTTTTTCGCAAATAAAGACAGGTCCTTCTATGAATGAGGAATTATGAAGCTCACTGAAAGATGGCAAAAGGTTATCGAACAAAACAGGCAATATATCACTGATTGATCTTTGTTCTTTATATAAATAAATGACCTTTGAAAAACAGACAAAATACGTCATGACTTTTCCGACAACCCAATACTTTTCCCCCTTAAATCCAGTCTACCATTCTTTGTCTTACAGTAATTGGAATATTTGTTCCTACTCCTTTTACCATCTTTGTTCATTTTTATCTTACTTCCTTTTAAAGTATTTTTATTGTACCATTTTCCTCTTCTATTATTCTTTTAATAGTTATCCTGGGGATTCCATCGTGCACCCTTGACTCATTAGAGTCTACTTTGAATCAGTGCCTCTTAACACTTCCTGGACATTTAAATTTCCCACATATTTATCCTATAGTACTCCTCATTTCTTACTGCTTTGTTGTACTTCCATCTGGAATCTTTTTCATTTTGTCCAAAGAACTTCTTCAGAGAGACAGAGACAGAGTGTGTGGTTGTGAGTTGGTGTGTGTGTCAGTGGATTCTTCCAGATTTTGTTTGATGGAAAATATCTTCTGTTTGACAGAAAATGTCTTTTATTTCAGTTTCATGGTTTTTTTTGGTTTTTTTGAAAGATATTTTCACTGCTCACCTTGGTGTATTCTCCTTCTCTGGAATCTTGGTCTCTCAAGTCTTGGCTGCCTAGATGCCCTCCAGTGCCTTCTTTCTTTTGTATTTTATCCTGCTTTTACAGCTTGCTGTTCTAGGCAGATGGTTAGATGATGCTTGCTACTTGGCCATGACTGTAAACATGTAAAATGTATATATGTTTTAGATCAAGATAGAGTTTTATATTCTCTCCTTTTTAAACTTAGCATTATATTTTGGGCATTTCTCCCTGTCATTTAAAAAGTTCTTCAAAATCCTTTTTTCCCCTCCTGGGGCAATGACGGGAGAGGGAGAGAAAGAGAGGGTCAAAATCCTTACTTTTAATGATTACGTGTTATTACATAATGTGACTATAACATCACATATTTAATCACTCTCCTGTTGTTGGATATTTATTTTGTTTAAAGTGCTTACTGTAATAAATTGGCTTCGGTGCACATCTTTGCACATAACCAGAGATTCAGTCAAAGTAGAATTATTGTGATGAAAGAACGTGAATTTTTTAAAGTATGTATTGCCAAAATGTTTAATCAGAAGGAGGTACGATTTTATATTTTTATTAACAAAAAAAGAATTATAATTAAAATTTTTGATTGCCCTTTTAGTGACCTTTTTTTATGAAAGTAATGTGTTAATTAAAGAATATTTAGAAAATATGGATAAGTGACACTGAAGAAATAAAAGTTATCCATAACCTTATCGCCTAGAGTCAGACAGTAAGCAATTTGATAGATGTTCATTGCCATTCCTATGTGTGTGTTTTTCACTAGGAATATCTTGAACATTCTTAGGATACCATTACATATTCTTCTACTACAATGATTTTGAAATTATTTCACTTGATTGCAAAGTTGTGGAACTGACTTAAGTGTAACCTCAATATGTAAAATAGATTAGACCTGCTGTGGTAGAAGCAGAAGTGGGCCTCTGAGGCTCCTGCTTGGAACCTCGAAGTCACTGAGGGACACAGTTGACTTCAGATATATTGCTATATGTGTAGTTCAAATTTTATTTAGTCAGTACAGCATTATTTGACAGGTTGTTGCTTTTTTTTTTTTTAAGTATTATAAGTAATGCTATGGTTAATATTCTTGATTATTTCCTTAGGGAAAATTCCTAGAAATGGAATTTTTGAATACAAGGGTTTGCATATTTGGTTAAATACTTTTGCTGAATTACACTTCAGAAAAGTTATACCAATTTCTTCTTTCTAAAACTATATGAGAAAGTACTTATTTCCCCACATCTTTACCAATACTTGATATTTTTTGTTAACTTTATGGGTTGTTTTCCCCTCAACATTTTATGAAAAGTTTGAAGCATAGAGTAATAAGGGTGAACGATTTTTTACAGTAAATATCCATATACTCACCACCTGGATTCTACTATTACTGTTTTATTATACTTGTTTTATCATACATTTATCTATACCTCTACCCATCCATAAATCTTTCTTTCTTTATTGACACGTTTCAAGGCATATTGTAGACACCAGTACACTTCCACCTCAAAGCTTCAGCATGCAGTGCACAGATAATAAAAGTAGACAAGACAATAATATGTAGACAAGAAAAAAATCTCAAGTGAGATTATAGGGGACTGCCATCTGTTAGTTTTCTGTAACATTTGTTTTGTAATAAGCAGCTATTGCTTTTATAATTAGGAAAAATAAACATCAAGTAAACATAGACAGACAAATCCAGTAGGTGTTTCTTATAACTTAGAATGTGCAAATAAAGTATAAAGAGGAAGGGAGGAGAAAAACTTATTAACTCATATTCCCAGAATCAATTTTGTACACACGTGTGTTTCTTTCTTTTTTTTTTTTTAAGCTGAGCCATCCTGCCACCAGTTGGCAGCTCAGCGGCTGCTCAGCGGCTGCTCAGCGGCTGCTCAGCTCCGGCCGGGAATCGAACCGCTGTTGCTCAGAGCTCAAACTCTTGAGCGAGCTCTTAACCAACTGAGCCACTCGGCCGGCCCCACATGTGTGTTTCTTATATATTGGGTTGTTGGAAAAGTCATGATGCATTTTTGCAACGAAAAACATAGAAAAAATACATCATGATTTTTCCGACAACCCAATAATTGTGTGGCGTTCTTTTATTTTCTTTTGTCTTTGTCTAGTTTCAGAGGGTGGGGTGGCAGGAGACATTTTGTTTCAAAAGCTTCTGGGTAAGAGTTATGTAGGAGTGTAATGGCAAGATCCCTGAAGCCAGGCTCAGAAGATCTGGAATCTAGTCCCAGAATTGATGCTTAACTACCAGGGCGTTTTATCTCTTTATTTCATATTTTTCTTGTATAAAATGAGGAAAAGACGTGTTTATACTATGAGATAGATGTATAAGAAATCTCTAATAAGCTGTATATTCTTTGAAACCATATGTAGATTTTAGAATTGGGATTTGTATACATTCCTAGCATATTGTCAGAAAGCCATCTGTTGTTTCTTGTTTCATGCCTAGTGAAAGAAAAACTGGCATACTAGCTCTTAGACAGAGACTCTAACTTACTTAGGGACAGTCTAACTAATATGAAGTACTACTATTCCAGTGTAACACACATCAAACATTATAACTGCACCTTTGTTTAACTAAAAGAGAAAATTTAAGTTTGTGTGTTTTTAATAATTACCTATCTTAGCCAGGAGAAATAATACATCCCTCGGTGGCATCTGTTATGCCAAATTTGAGTTATGGTCTGTTTTGAAGCCACTTACCGTATTTCCCCATGTATAAGACACAACCTTTTTCAAAAAATTTGGGGTCTAAAAACTGGGTGCATCTTATACAGTGGTTGTAGATTTTTTTACTTGTATTTCCCGCAAGTGATGAGTTGTATGAATTTTATGATGAATGAAACTTGAGTTCAATAACTATGTAATGCATTTTTTTCAAATTTCGGGCCCAAAAATTAAGGTGCGTCTTATACATGGGGAAATACAGTATTTCATACTTGAAGGTTTTCCAGCTTGTTAATTCTTTTTGTTTTCTTTTCTATTTTTTATTCTTCATCTTCTAGACCTCTTCCTGTGCCCAAGCTGCCATCTGGGGAGCAGTGTGAAAGTGAGGAGGATACAGAGTATATGACTCCTTCCTCTAGGCCTCTAGGGCTTCAAAAGCCAGAGGTGAAATGGCCTTTGGAGACGACACAGAGTTCACAGTAAGTTCACAAGAATTCTATTTTGGAATTCAGTTGACACCACACATATGCTTGGCTTGCTACTACCTTCATTCACAAAGCGTTATCCAGCCATAATTAAAGCAGAAACATGTATGTAGCTCCTAATGTTTAAGCCTCTTACAGCTGTGAGCAAGTCTGCTTACACTTCCTCAACATCACAGTCATCTCAAATGCACACACATCTAGTACCCATCATAAGAATCAGTCTGACAACATTTCTTAGTGACACCGGCAAAGGGGGAATGTTATCTTGATAGAATCAGGGTCTAGAGTAGTTGTGAATAGCAGAATTGTAATCAATAAGTTTGCAGATAACAGAGTTCTGTTTGTAAAGGTAATTGTGCCACTTTCCTTCTGGTTCAGAGCGTGTGATTGTGACCAGCAGGTTGATAGCTGTACATATGAAGCAATGTATAATATTCAGTCCCAGGCAGCGCCATCTGTCACAGAGAGCAGCACCTTTGGTAAGTAGCTATTTTGCTACTTTAAAAATCATTAATGTGCTATAGGAATGAGCCTGTAATATGAGATTGTTTGATCTAAGCAGAAAATTCTTTTAAATAATTTTATTTGCAAAATATCTTTGATCCATGGGCAGTAAAACTGCCCCCTCTCTTTTATTTCTTTCATTTCTTTTTTTTAGGTTTTATTGAAGAATTGGGGGAGGGGAACAGCGCTGGGGAATCGGGGAAGGGGAACAGACAAGTTGCTGTCCTTTTGTTCTTCAGTCTAGTTGTGGAGGACGTTGCTTCACTGGCCCATGTTGGTATTATCAT